TGCCGGATTAGTCTGGTCAGAACCACGCCCCAGGACCACGCCAGGCCGCCTTTGTCTCCACAGCGCTTATGATTTTATACAGCGCACCAAATACACAATCAAATAACGCCGATAATCGAACCGAGGTTCGCTGGGATCGTAGCGAAGAGTGAAAACCACTGCGCCACCGCTCCCTACACACACACACACAGTGCGAGGACACACACACACACACAAAGTGCGAGGACACACACACACACAAAGTGCGAGGACACACACACACGAGATCGACGGAGTGCGCAGGCGGTGCAACTGCGCTGCCGTCCACGGCTGGAGATGGACCCACGGGCCCAGGCCTGGCTACGGAGAGCTGGGGAAATTGGACATTCCTTGTCTAACGTCACCCACACTGCACCACTGCGCGAGACGCAGTGAGGAGTGGCATCGAGATGGGAGGGGTGGGAGGGGGGTGAGATTTGGGGGGGGGTGGGTTGAGAATGGGGGGTGGGGGCATGGACGGTAGAATCCACCCCCCCTTCAACATCCCCGCCCCCTACAAATGTAACGCTAACCTCTGCAAATTGCAGCCGTGCGCGTGAGTGATCATCTCATTCCACTGAAGTTCCGTCAAGCGATAGCATCGGCCACGTGTCCGTGCATACACCATCCCCCGTGTCTTCGTATGTATACGATCAGAGTATCGTATACTTGGGTCGTTGAAATCGTTTGTTTATTTATTTTAATTCGTTACCGTTATCGGAATGGGGCGAAGAAGAAGAAGAAAAAAACGGTTACCGGTTTTGCCGCACAAATAAAAATGTCTGCAGCAGTTAACGTAACGCGTCTAGCTTTGTTCTCTCTTCACTGAGAGCCGGGGGGAGCTGCCCCAGCGGTGTGATGGCCAGCACGTGACTCGACTTGCAATGCAGAGGACTCCGGTTCGGCCCCACGTCCCGGTGCGGCAAGTGAAACGATGGGGAGAAGATTCTTAGAATTGTCCCCCCCCCCCCGACATCCACCCCCAAAACGCACAAACGGCAGATAACAAGCGGGTGGGTTAAAGCGTGGGTACTTAGACCTCATCCAAGACGCCTGGACAGCGTGAACTAATGTACCAACTCCTGCATCACGTAGAGCTCCCGCGCCTCCGATTAGCGCGGTTGGCTACGTACGGTGCGAAAGAAGTTCAACACACATGCATAGTGGAGGGAGGCCCCTTACGCTATCAGTGGCGTTTTACCTTCAACTGAGAATCGAGAGTGTTAAAGTACTAACATCCCACTGGGGACGATTCTAATAACGGTGGTGGTGACGGTGGCGGGGCAGATTCAGATGGGTTTCACCACGGATGGTAGCCGTGGCAGGGAATTGAACTGACATGGTCGTGTTCAATTTTCGATTTAAAGCTTTCGTGACTGCAGGGATTCATCTTCTTGGGTCTTTCGGTAAAGTCACGTAGAATGGAAATAATAAAAAAATAATAAAACATAATCAAATAATATTTTATTTGATTATCTCTGATCTTTGTAATACCCATACAAGACAAGTGGGGAGCGGTAGCGTAGCGGTTAGCGCACCGTGGTGTCTGAACATATTTTGGGGCCTCCCCTAGATCGACTCAGCCATAAATGAGTGTCCTGATGCGGTGTGTGTATGAGACAACACTAGGGAGATAAAGGCGGTCGGGGCGTGGTGTGAGCCAAACCACCCCTCGTGCGCCGTGCCGGCTTTTAATAGGTGCTCGCTAACAGCACCTGGCCCAACAATATATATGGGTAGATGGGGGATCTTATTCTATTTTACCGTTATCTATATATATTTGTGTGTGTGTATTTCTTGGTGTATTCTATATGTGTGTATGTATTTTTTGGTGTGTTCTATATGTGTGTGTGTGCGTGCGTGTGGGTTGGGGAGTACTTTCTTTGAACATTATGCACGCGCGAGTTGACGGGTTGGGGACAATACTGACAACGATGACGATAACAATTAAAGCAATGACAATAACATTAATTTAAAGTACTGGATTCATTTACACACAACCCATTTGCACGACACGAATTCTCACAACGTCTAAACTGCGACTGCAGCGCATCGATTTTTTCATATAACATTTTATTTCACCTTTATTTAACCAGGTAAAAAAAAAAGACTTGAGGTTAAAAACGTCTTTTGCGAGGGGGACCTGGCAAGCAGTCAGAAAAAAATCACCACGCAATACGAAATAGTACAATACAAAACGTTAAAAACAATTAAGATGGTCAATTACATTTTCTTCTTGATCGAGCAGAGCTTCACCGAGTCTCGAGACCGAGAGACCAATTTTCAAGAGGGTCCTGCTACTGAGATGGTTGGTCAATTTACATTTCTTTTCTTTTGACAAATCTTATTTTACAAGTCGTCGTGTGTCAGTACCGGTAAACGTTACGACGTCAAGGCACGTGTCGTTTCCCATGAATTTTAGGATAATCCGAGTCGTGTTTATACTTATACAAATATCTGGGGAGGCGTGGGGGCTGGGGGTGGTGGGGGAAGGGGGTAAGAAGGGGACGTTAGGGGGGGGTATGCGGGGTCGTATTTGGTTGGAGGTTGTGCAAAGAGGAACGCGAGGTGCTGAGAGTCTCCTTTGATTTTGGGGGGGATTCAGAGCGTGGGAGGGGCACATTTTTATCTTTAAAAACCAGGGAGCCCCCCTCCCTGGGGACCTCCCCCCCGCACTCCCCCCACTATAGCGCTCAGGGATCATCCGATCGCAATAGAATGTCCACCCGCCCCCTTCCCCCTCCCCTCCCCCCCCCAGCACTGTGGACGCCTTCACGTGTCTCTGCGCCAAATGCTGGAGCGCGTGTCGACTCGTAAATACATGGGGCTATCACGTTGAGGAAATACGCGTTCAAGTTATGGACTGCACACAATACGTGTGATATATCAACTCTCGCACAGCTGGAAGGTGGGCGGGGGTGGGGGGGCGACCGGTGACGCTGCCGTTCGCGCGTTCGCGTTACAGACCTGGCGACCCGAGTTCAGTAATTCCCTGCCACGGCTAACATTGTCAGTGAGCGAGTGAAGTCTGAACAGGTCCCCGCCACCCCCCCCCCCACCCCCAGAAATCACCAACCCGTACTGACCAGCGTGGTGAAGTATGGTCAAACAACCCCCTAGAATGGCGCCACAAGGAAAACGGACTCCTTCATCGAGCAGTGGATTGATAAAGGCTGGAATGTATGAGGGTACTGTGATTTCACATGCTTTTTATCGTAACTATATATATGCTGCTCGTTTACCAGTAGCGGGGTCTGATCGCTTGTGATCGGTCGTGACGTCACAATCCACAGTCGGCGAATTACTCGGTTCACACGATAACGGGGACCGCGTAATTCGACAGTGTTTAGCAGGTAATGTTTGGCAGAAAAATTCAAAATACATCCCTTGTCGGCTTTTCTAATGTCAAAGATGGAATTTTTGGATTTTTTTCCCCCAAAGCTTTCGAACCCTTCCAGAACATCAATAGAATTGACACGATCTCTGTATGGAATGTATGTATTGGTGAAGAGCCGCCTATTCGGTAGAGTTACTGTGTGTTTGCAGTGCGTTAGCGCTGCACTGCGCTACGAACCCAGCGACCCAAGTTCGATTTTCGCTCACGGCTAACAGCAGTAACGAATATTTGGACCGGTCCTGAGTCTCCCCTATGTCGATTCAGCCTCAAATGTGTATCTGGTGCGGTGTGAAAACCATCAGCATTGGGGACACAAAGGTGGCCGGGCGTTGTGCTCGCCACCCACCCATTCGTGTGCCGTTCCGATTTTCATAGGTGCTCGCCAACAACACTTGCTCCAACAGTCTAGTAAAGGCTATACGGGGATCTTTGGTCTTTTTTTATTTAAAGCTTTGTGACTGCAGTAATTCATATTCTTAGTTCTTTCGGTAAAGTCACGTTGAAGGGAAACAACAAAATAATAATATATATATAAAACAATAAAAATTCTCACGACGTTTCGACCATAACACAAACGGTCGTCTTCAGGTGTGTCGGTTTGTGTTATGGTCGAAACGTCGTGAGAATTTTTATTGTTTTATATATATTTTATTATTTTATTGTTTCCCTTCAACGTGACTTTACCGAAAGAACTAAGAATATATCTTGGTCTTTGTTTCGTGTTGGGGGGTTGGGGTGACGCAGTGGTTAGCGCACTGCGTTATGAACTCAGCCACCGAAGTTTGATTCCCGGCCACGCCTATTGCCAGCGGTAAGTTCTGTCTGAACATGTGCTGGCTTCCCCCTCGGTCTGTTTAGCCTAAAACGAGTTACTGATGCATAGATTAAGCATCGAAGCTGGCAATACAAAGACGTCCGGGCATGATGCTGTCCACAGCACCACCTCGTGCTCATAATAAGGCCCCCCCGTTTCGACTGAACAGACTGTTGGGGCCAGTTGTCTTTGCGAGCACCTCTGAACGCCGGAACGGCACACAAGGGGGTGGGTGGCCAACACCACGCCCGGTTGCCTTTGTCTCCCAAAGTGCTAATGCTTTTAAACACTGCACCAGGTACTAATTTAAGGCTGAGTCGACCTCGGGGAGGCCTATGACCAGTAACAACACACACACACACAGCCTCTGGCGCTGCGCCGCCAAGCCGGATGGGGCACGGGGAAGAGACACGCACGGGGCGGGAGATGCGGGGCAGTAAGAGAGGGGAGGGCGGGTAGAGGGAGGTGGGGGGGGGGAGGAGGCACGATAGCTTAACGAGGATCACAACCTCCAGTAAATCTGCGGCGATCGCGCTAATTCTCATTGTGTACAATACAATACACGCATCTCCACAAGCAGCGCTGCGTGCCTGCCCGCACGGGGAGCCGGGATGGTTTCAAGTGCATTGCGACATTTAAAGCAGCGAGAGGGAGAGAGAGAGCGTGCGGAGAGAGGGAGACACAGAGAGAGAGAGAGAGGGAATCGGGCGGAGAGAGCGAGGGGAAAATGCTCTCTCTCTCTCTGTCCGTGCTTTCCTACGCGACACTCACCTCCCAACGCTTGCTTCATCACAAAATCCATGCTTGCGGCGAGCGGTCGGAGGCGTCAGCAGCAGCACAGCGAAGGCGGCCTGGCGAAGGAGAGAAGAGGCACGGGTTGAGAGAGAGACACGGGAGGAGAGAGAGAGAAAGACGGAGCGTGTGTGAGACGCGGGAGCGGAACAAGCACCGAGCGATCAGAGCTTCGCTAATTTTTCTCACTTTGGCGAGTGGCGGAGGAGGAGGAGGAGTCAGCGCGGACAGCGCCCGTCGCGCCACGCCCACCCCGCTAGCCACCAACCAATTAGGGCTCGACTTAGCGGGGCGGCAGCCAATGGCGAGGAAGGACGCGTAACCCCGGGCCCCCCCCCCGGCCCCTCACCCTCCCCTCCTCCACCCCTCTCCTCTTCCCCGCAGATGCACGCGTGTCTGTGTGTCTTTGTGTCGGTGTATGTGTGTGCGTGTGCGTCTTTTGTGTCTGTGTGTGGTGCTGGCCACCCACCCCCTCGTGAGCCGTGCCGGCCTTCATAGGTGCTCTCTAACAGCCCCCAACAGTCAGTTAAAGGCTTTACGGGGGATCTTTATCTTTGCCTCTGTGTGTGTGTGTGTGTACTCGTGTCTCTGTGTGTTTAAAAGTGATGTCATCGCGGTGGTTTCCCAAAGCCAGCGAGGAGCTTGCACGCTGCGAGGTAGCGAGAGATAGAGAAACTGTCGAGAGGGAGATAGAGAGCTCTGACTATAGGAATAGTCATGATTTTACGAACATTATTTTTCAGCTTGGTCAAAATTTGTTTGTATATATGTCATAGGAGTTTTCAGCATCATCATCACGCTGGCATCATCGTAACAATTCAATTAACTTCACCATCGCTTTTATATGTTGTGATCATATGTTGACGTTGGTGCATTTGGCACGAAGCAAATTGCGTGCTCTGAAGAAGGCCCATTTCCCGAAACGTCGCCTCGTATTATTACTATAACGCGCGTTTTCATTTTAAGACCACAGTATTATCCACGGAAGTTTTTTTTTTTCAAACCATCATTAAGATCGTCCTGATATTGATAATTACTTTGTTTTCTGTAATCGCGATTATGTAAAGATTCAGTCGCAATTATACGATCTATAATTTATATCGATTCGTTATGCATCACCATCAATGATCATAAATCTACCTTCGTCATAATTATAACATCACAACAAAATAATCGTTATCATCATAACACTAGTGTACTGTATTATAATTCGTAATGCGCAAAAGAGTCGCTTCACATTTTTAAAAAATCCCAAAACACATTCGTCAATAACGCTGTGGCCTTAAAATTACAAAAAATATAATAGACGACGTTTCGGTTAATGACCATTATTCATGTGCGATGAAGAAGGTCCATTCCCCGAAACTTCGCCTATTATTTGTTTTGCATTTAAGGCCACAGTGTTATTGACACGGACCTTGTTGAGCTGCTAACGTAGCAGCATCATCACCGAATATTCCAGTTTTTGTTTAATGAACCATAGCAAAAGCGGAACTCGAACCCCAGGCTTGCCAAGAAAACCAGGACTGATTGGGAAATGAAATGTAAATGCCCGAGAGAAGGATGAACAAAACTGGAGACAACGGAGAAGAGACATTCGTGAAGGCGTGATGAACGAAGATGCGGCGAGGAGATGGTGCGGTGGGAAACGGCGAGCCAAGCTGTGGAGGCACCGTGAAGAGGCGGGGAGGAGAGCAGCGAGGATTGGAGAAGAGAATCACCCCGGGTGTGTCTGTGCGTCCGTGTGTGTTTCATTCTGTGCGTATGTATGTGCGTGTTTGGAGTAGTGTGCGGAGCAGTAGCGCAGCAGTTAGCGCGCTGCGCTATGAACCCGGCGTCCCGAGTTCGGTGACGAATATCTGAACCGGTCCTGGGCCTCCCCTAGGTCGACTTCGCCTCAAATGAGTACCTCGTGCGGTGTGGAGTAAACATCGCCACTCGGGGAGACAAAGGCGGCCGGGCGTGGTGCTGGCCACCCATCCCTTCGTGTGCCGTGGCGGCCTTCATAGGTGCTCGCTAACAGCACTTGCCCTAAAAGTCTGTTAAGGCTACACGGGGGTCTTTGTTTTGTGTGTGTGCGTACTCACATTATAGATGTCATTGTTTCATCGTGCGTGTATGTGCGTGTAGGTGTGTATGTGTGCGTGAGTGTGTCCTCGTGTGTGTGTGCGTGAGGATGTCATTGTGGAAGTTTGTTGTCTTTGTACGTGCGCGTGTACGTATGTCAGTGTTTATTATTTCAGAGCGAGCTTGTGAGAGAGCACGAGTGGGTGTGTATATCAGAGCGTGTATGAGTGACACGGTGTGTGTGTGTGTGGGCGAGAGTGGAGAGTGCGGTGCCGTGGTTGGCGCACTGCGCTACGAACTTGGCAAACCCGCTTCACGACCAATAATTCCCGCTCACGACGAAGTCACAGTGGCGAATAATTGAACCGGTCCTGGACCCGCCCTCCCCTAGGTGAACCCAGCCTCAAATGAGTACCTGGTGCGGTGTATACACAGCAGCACCTGACGGGGGGAGACAAAGGCGACCGCGCATGGTTCTGGCCACACCATCCCCTAGTGTGCCGTAACGGCCTTCATCGGTGCTCTCTGACATCACTTGCCCCTACGTCCTTTTAAATGCTACACGGGTGATATTTGTATTACAGCGTGTGCGTGCGTACGAGAGAGTGTGTGTATGTATGCACGTGCGTGCGTGCGTGCGTTCAGTACATTTAACGCCCGGGTATCTCTATGGGAAAGGACGCTGATGCTGTCCACGGACCAGCAGCTGGATTAATGAGGGTCACCGAGCCAGAGCCACATGCTCAGCTCGCCCTGATGGAAAACAAAAACCCTCCATCCCTGCCTCCCTCCCTCCCAGGCGGGGTAAGTTGTGCTGGGTGGTTGTGGTGGGGTGGTTGTGGTGGTTGTGGTGGGGTGGTTGTGGTGGGGTGGTTGTGGTGGGGTGGTTGTGCTGGGGTGGTTGTGCTGGGGTGGTTGTGGTGGGGTGGTTGTGGTGGGGTGGTTGTGCTGGGGTGGTTGTGGTGGGGTGGTTGTGGTGGGGTGTTTGTGGTGGGGTGGTTGTGTTGGTGTGGTTGTGGTGGGGTGGTTGTGCTGAGTGGTTGTGGTGGGGTGGTTGTGGTGGGGTGGTTGTGGTGGGGTGGTTGTGGTGGAGTGGTTGTGGTGGAGTGGTTGTGCTGGGGTGGTTGTGGTGGGGTGGTTGTGGGGGGGTGGTTGTGGTGGGGTGGTTGTGGTGGGCTGGTTGTGGTGGGGTGGTTGTGGGGGGGTGGTTGTGGTTGATTTGTTGTGGGGTAGTTGTGGGGGGGTGGTTGTGGTTGGTTTGTTGTGGTGGGGTGGTTGTGGTGGTTGTGGTTGGTTTGTTGTGGTGCGGTGGTTGTGGTGGGATGGTTGTGGTGTGGTGGTTGTGGTGTGGTAGTTGTGGTTGGTTTGTTGTGGTGGGATGGTTGTGGTGGGGTGGTTGTGGTGGGGTGGTTGTGGTGGGGTGGTTGTGGTGGGTTTGTTGTGGTGGGGTGGTTGTGGTGGGGTGGTTGTTCTGGGGTGGTTGTGGTGGGGTGGTTGTGGTGGGGTGGTTGTGGTGGGGTGGTTGTGGGTGGTTGTGGTGGGGTGGTTGTGGTGGGGTTGTTGTGGGGGAAGATTCGCTGTGGGGATCGGAGTGGGCACTTTGTCCCGAGTTCTATCCCTGGCGACCCCAGTAGCGGGTGGTTTGGATGTCAATCAGTCCCTGGGTAATCCCCTCCGTTGGGCGTGAGAGAGAGAGAGACACGTGATCGGGAGAAGAGTGGAAAATGTTGTCAATGGAAAAAAGTGGTCCTTGTTCTATTCCGCACGGCTTTCGTGTTGGTTTCCGTACGTATTGTGATGCGATGTATACACAACCGCTGATGGAGCAAAGCCTCTCCACGCCTTTCGTTCACGGGGGGCTTGCGTGACCATACTTCACAACGCTGGTCAGTGCGGGGTGGTATAGCGGGCTACATAGGACCGGTTCGGATACCACTCGCGACACGGATGTTCGCCGTGGTCGGGAAGCGAACTCGGGTAACTGGATTCGTGGCGCAATGCGTTAATCACTGCACCACCGCTCTAACTCCCGTAATACGTCGACACGTAATGCACTGAAGTTTGATCGAAGAAAGCCGCATTGCATTGCTTGGCCAATCCTCGTTTGTAAATACGGAGTGTTGTACCGCACGTTGAGTCGGAACTGGCGGAGTAGATCCCACCGCGCGTACGAGGAGAGAGCATTGATAGGTCCACACAGATGGGTATTCGGACTGACTTGGCTGTATTGCCGGTATCTCCTGAGCATAATCGCAGCGGGGCTGGCTCTGGAATTCCGTAAATCTGAGTGTGGTCCACCAACCCTCTTATGATGACTTCGCGCCACCTGTCAGTGAATTCTCACAGCCAATCAACACCCTCGCCCCACCGCTTAAGATGTGAGTTTGTAAACACGAGGGGCTGTTCAGGGAGTCGCCTTGCACGGTTTCTCGTGTACACGGGAATTGCAAACCCCCTACACCAACACTAAACTCACCATTCAGCTCACCGAGATCACGATTAAACTCACCACGCTGCTCACCAACGCCAATACTAAACTCACCACACAACTCACAAACACTAAACTCACCATTCAGCTCACCGAGATCACGATTAAACTCACCACGCTGCTCACCAACGCCAATACTAAACTCACCGCACAGCTCACCAATACCAACTCCCGGACGAGCGTAGCATTTTTGTGCAAGATTTGCAACTACATTTATTACACAAAATCCACGTGACCGTGAGCTCACGTGACGCGCGCGCCGTCAATTCGCGGCGTGTTTCAACGCAGCCTCGCGTCCCGCAAACTCCGATTAGCACGGTTGGCGACGTACGGTGCGAAAGAAGTTGAACGTACACATACATACATCCGAACGGGACCGATATCTCAGGCGACATCTGACAATGCGGCCAGCATTGCTTCAACTCAAGTCTGTTCTCCGCTTATGAAACGATGAATGTCGAAACGGGTCCGCAGTTTGTTGGTGTTTGCTGAAAAAGGGGTGCACGCGTCCTAAAAACAGCCCACGCGTGCGCGTGTGTGCGTGCGTGTGTGCGCGGCTAATGAGATGTGGTGGGACACGAAGATCTGTCGGCTTGTTTGTTGTGCACACTCCCATCGCTCAACACAT